GAGATCAAACGAATCACACGTCGATTAGATAAAAATAATCAACATGTCAGCAATAGGACAAATCGTGTAAAAATTAGAGAAATGGTTAACTTGAACACATGTAGCTATCCTCTTTTATTTTAATTCACCTTTTTAAAGGGGAGATACAAAATAATAGTAATGACATCATTTGAAGAACACCAGTTTAGTTTGTCTATATGCGTACCAATTATTAAAAATAGAGTTACATTAGCGTAAAACACGTCTCTTGATGTTTTCTGTCTTAATTTTGCTCTTTTTCAGACAGTGGGTCAACTGGTTCAATGATTATCTCCTGTAAAGTATTACTCTTCTGTGGTTATCCCGTTCACCGTGAGGAATCTATTGACTATACGAGATTACAAAAATATAGTTCTGGTAATTAGTGATAAGGGAAAATATCTAAATAGAAGGGTTAAATCATACTTTTCCTCTAATTGACAAACTATGTGATCATATATAGGTTATAGGAGTAATGTATAAATCCGTAGGTGTAATTGGTTTTTATTTTTTTTTTGGGGGGGGGGGGGGAATACGGAAAACACTGATTTATGAAGCTAGAGCTGAGCAGTTAAAGAAAGAACTAATAAGACTAATATTATTAAGCAGACACTGACAGGTTTTCTTGCAAAAAACACTAATAATTTTACAGAATGACCCTGACAGTCTTAGTTGCAAAAAAGTATAAGACGTCGTGTACCGTGTTGGTGTTAGTTTTGTTAACGTTAATTTGACGTATTTTTCAACGTCGTACTTCATTCATTTCGTGTAGATAAAATAATGTTTAAAGTATTGTGTCATTGTGGTTTTTGAGTATTGTGCCATTGTGGTTTTAAGTATTGTGCCATTGTGGTTTTCAAGTATTGTGCCATTCTGGTTTTTAAGTATTGTGCGATTGTGGTTTTTAGGTATTGTGCAATCGGTCTAGATCTTAAATGAAATGTGCAAATTTCGAGAGTAGTATGTAATTCATGTTTAAGACTTATCATGTTAATATAGAAAATTATGTGTTTTATCATATTTATGGCTGTATTTTACAAAAAACAGAATATTTTTGTTTGATTCACTTTTTGCCAACTATGCCACATAAGGGTAGATAACTCAGATATAAGGGTAGACAACTCAGATATAAGGGTAGATAACTCAGATATAAGGGGACATAACTAAGATAAAGTAACTGTTATAATATACATAATGTCTTGTGAATATACCTATTTTATTATGTAATATAAAATAATCAGGAATATGACTCTTGGAGATATTATATAGCTGACAAAATAATAAATATATGTCTTTCTTGGCCTAAAAAAGAGTTTTAAAAAGTTGCTCAGCAATTAAAACAACTACAATGACACAATATTTTGAACAGTATTTTATCTACACGAAATGAAAGAATGCAACGTTGAAAAATAACGTCTAATTAACGGTTACCAAAGCTAACACCAACCAACGATTAAAAAAAGATTGAAAATAGAAACAGAACAAGAATTTAGTGTAAAACAATATCGTTGTCCTTTACTTTAATATACAACCGCATTGGTGGTGTCGTTTTCTCGTGCTCGTCTCGCGTATTACAGAAGGACGTGAGGTCGATCCCAGGTCAGTTCAAACAAACGACGTTGATATTTACTACTTCTCCATCTGATTGAAATACAGATCATGTGTCCACACTTCGCTTACAAGGATCTGACAATACTCTGTTCTAGGTTCTGTTTTAACATCTTTCGTGATCCTTTGGTTTTGTGGTAATCTTACACGTCTTAACCAGTTCGGAGGCAGACAGTTCATATGCTGGTGTAATAAATTCCTAACAGAAAGTTAAACGGAGTGTTTTCAGATCCTTGTAAGCGGAGTTACTTCTATGCCAATTCAGAAAACATTTGTTAGCAAGAGAAAAGACTAGTGGACTGAGAGTGGCAATAGTTAGATTAGTGTCAACCTATTCAGCAATTCTCTTTATAAAAAGCTATCCTGTAATTCGTCATCTTCCAATTTCGTTTGGAAAACTAATTAAGGGACAATTTTATTTTTTTTCTTCAAAATGATGGTTTTTGAATTTTTTGAATTTGTTCGAAAAAAATACTGATAAAAAATTTAAAGATTTTTATATCCTGATAACAGAATTTTTATAACTTGTGTTTACAGACTTCTAACTCACATTTACGGTTTTGTAACTAGCATTTACTATATACAAATTGATATATATTAAGTCCATGATGTGATTCGTATTACATTAAAAAAAGGAGATGTAGTATGATTGCCAATGAGACAACTATCCACCAAAGTTCAAATGCAGTGGATATAAGCAATTATAGGTAACCGCACGGTCTTCAACAATGAGAAATCCCCATACCGTATAGTCGGCTATAAAAGGCCCCGACATGAAAAATATGAACAATTCAATTGAGAAGACTAACGGCCTAATTTATAACAAAACCATTTACGAAAAACAAATATGACTAACATGAACCAACGACAACCACTAAACTACAGGCTCCTGACTTGGGGCAGGCACCTACAGAATGTTGCGGGGTTAAAGTAATGTGAGAGTGCTCATTCCTCCCCCTAACCTTGGACAGTGGTGTTACAGCGCAACATTAAAAGAAACTATAACAATCAGTTGATAAAGAGCTTAACTCTAACTAAGCAGATAGATACAATGCAAAAAAACAACTTACAAAAACAAAGACCGGACGTGGCAGGGTATGTATACATCCCTTACAACAAAAAAGACAAAGTACAGATCTTAGAGTACTGGCAGTTACTGATAGCTAGTTCAAAGCCAATCACAACTAATAAAAAAAGCATGTATCTAAGACTAACATATCAATCAGTACACATCCAACATCCAATGGATTAACTGTAAAGACGCCATTAACAATGTCATAATATAGATATCGACATATTGTACCTTGAAAGTGCATATGTGTATAACAATAATATTTAATATGGTTTTAATTTACTGATAACATAATCAATATGTATACCAATAACACAATACCCAAAGATCTAATTTCAGTGTTGAATTGGTTACCTTTTAAATTAAGTTTACTTAAATAATTGATAAGTGTACCCGGATCGTATCTTATTTTCCGGGCTCGGTAAGCAACATCACCGTAAATTTTAGGATGTGCTATTCCGGTTGAAATAAGTTTTCTACAGGTGCAGCCAAACTTGCAAACTTAATTTTAGTATCTATGGAAGAATTTTGTAACGGTTTTAAGTAATTTGTGGTAATGAAATCGCTGACTTAATGATTTTCCCAGTAATACATATATTACGTTTATCGTACTCTCCGCAGGCATGTGCCAACAATTCCTTTAACTGGAATTCATGTTTTATTCCTTGGCGGTGTCTATGCGTTCCGGAAACTTTCTCCTCTAGACTTTTTGTGTGTTATGTTCTTAAAATGAATCAATACTATAAATATCAAGAGTCAAATGTACTTATATTCGTCATTTGAACTCAGGTAGATAGTTGTCTCATTGGGAATCATACCACATCTCCTTATTTTGATTAATATTGTTATTTATCATTCGTTTATGCACCTTTAGTTAGAAAAAAATGTATTCCATTGATCAAAATTAAAAGAAGATGAAAAAGTTATGAAAAAAATAGTATAACCATGTCTATTTCTCTCTCCCAATCGGAAACTCAAGTGCTATTTATGCGATAGGGAAGTATTGCCAGATCTTTGAAAGTCACTACTTAATGAATTCACAACGTTCCTAGACGTAGGCCTTTAGAGGTTGAAAAATCTTTTGTCATTTTATCATTGAAGGTTAATCCAGAAAAGCGCATCGGACCCACCAATTCAATAAAATGTTTTGTTTTGTTTTTTTATTTTAAAGACTGCGTGCTGATCTCTAGCTGTGTTATTGTTTTGTGTGTTTTGCTGGGTTGCTTTTTAATTATCATATACCAAACATCTCCTCATATTCGCGGAAAGAAGTAAACACAGAATACAAATAAGTGGTGTTTGTTAATTAAAAACATTAATCGTATTTCAGTATCATAAGAAGCATTCGAGAAAAAAGTAAAACATACAAAATCCCATGTTTTTGTTGTCTTTGTAAATTGAACTTTTCTTCCTACAGCCTAATGATCTAGGGTAGAAAAAGTCCGACTCAGCATCGTGCTTTTACAAAACACGGTTCAAGTTACATCAATATGAATGTTCTCGTTCTGATTTGTATGTAATATTTGCCACTGCAATTTAAACACCAACCAATGTATTCATTCTATTCAAACCATTTCTTCGCATGCACATCGCTCATTCTTGACACAGAGAAATCTTATGTCCTAAGGAGATGATCTAAAGCAGACATCTTTTAAGTTTAACAGGTTATAAATTTAAGTTTGCACCAGCTATTTTGACTTCTCTTTATTTTAAGATTTTTACAAAGTTATAAGTTTCAACTTTTGCATTTTTTTTTTAATTTAGTATTATTACAATAAATCTTAAAACTCTCCAAAGCACTTGTATATCACCCCCACAAAACAACTATAATGTTTCTTAGTTATATAAGCCTATCAACAAGGATTTTATATGAATTTCTACTATTCATTATTTAAATCCTCGCCAGAATGTGCGATACTGCACTTCAATGTAACGTAGAAACTAAAATTTCGTTTTAAAACATTGTCAAAGGAACGTACTTTGCACTACTGAATATAAATAAAACAATTATGGAAAAGCTGTTAATTACACAGCAACTCAATGAAAATAAAATTAATCAAAACACAATTGGAAAGTAACATCTCTCCTTTTTAGAGGGCATCATGCAATCTTTAAAATCAGACAAGTGTCTATACAATTTGTCAAACCTTTAATTTTCCGAAGTCTGTAAATGATGTGAACAAAAACAAATTATGTTTGATTGTTGGGTACATGTCTGTAATTGTTGACGGTTGATTGTTGTGTTTGGTGTTTTTAATGATACACTATTAAACATATTATAGTATAAAACATCCAATATTACCTGTGTTGACTTATCCAAGGGATCCATTCCACCTTCTGCAATTAGCCATTGCACGACCTTGAGATTTCCTTGAACAGCAGCCGCGTGTAATGCTGTCCATCCACCCTACAATAAAACAGCACTCATATAAGTCTATGAATTATATAAGATCATAATCCAAGCAAGATCTGTAATATTAAAAAAATATTTATACTATTTTCTCTACTTTACATCAAATCTTGTGTGATAAACTGGAACTTTTTTAGTAATAAATATAAATTGAATATCTATCACACAAATCACTGGTTAAAACTAAATCAAATGAACTTTCACATTTGTGTTTTTATTCCACATAAACAATAATATATATTTCGAACAAGTATTTGTTGTCCATTTAACCTGTCTGATTAGCAAATTGATTTTGTGTATACAGAGGATATACAATCACACTGAGGAGATAATAATTATGTAAGGGATATAAGCCTATAACAGAATGGACTGTCAGAGGCTTATATTTTACTTAAAACATTGTTTAACTTGTAAAAGAAGGTCATGAAGGTGAAAAAAGCATACAAAAAAGGTGTTTGTTAAGATTTTTTTTCATCAAGTGTGTAAATAGTTTTGGATAAACTTGATTTATATTATCCAACATGTTGGCCCCTTTAAACAATAGCTCAACATAAAACAAAAGAAATAAAATAAAGTACAGTTGAAGGTAAACTACATGTATAAGTACATGAAGACACAGTGCATGTGTATCATGCTTTTTTGCGTGCTCTAGGATTACATATATATTTTCCGTGAATACCTTCATATGCATTTGGTGTTTGAAAATAGATAAAGACGAAGATGAAAGTATTTTCTTAACGCAAAATACTTTCCGACAAGAAGATAGCAATGTTGAAGATAGTGATGATGTTGTTTCCAACTTTGAATTAAAATCAGATCTATATTCAGATATATCCACTACGGTCTTCTTTTTAGGGTATTCGAGATGGCATCAGCGACCCTTTTTCTGTGTTTTATTGTAAATTTATATCTGCAAACTTTGTCGAAATAGTAGACCATACAAGTATCAGTCATCCAAAGCCAAAATTGAAATGTTTTAACCAGCTCACATCTGACGGCAACTTTTCTATTGAAGACTAGAAATTTCAACGTTATTCCAGATGAAATAAAGTTTTAAAAAATATATTACAGACAATAATATTTCAATACCTCTTACTTTTCACAATTTGAATCTCTTTCAAATGCAGATGTTGGTCCATCGCCTAAACGAAAGCGGCCAGGGAAGCTAGTTGAACATTGTTTGTCGAATGCATTAGATGACAGTCCAACTGTTTTTTTTTTTATTTAAAAATATGTAGATGTGGTATGATGGCCAATGAGACAACTATCCATCGGCGTTAAAATGAAGTGGTAATAAGCAATTACAGTCCATCGTACGGCATCAACAATGAGAAAAACCCATACCGTATAATCGGCTATAAAAGGCCCCGATATAAAAAATGTGAAACAATTTAAACGACGTAATTTATAACTAAACAATTAACGAAAAACAATTATGAATGAAACATAACCATTGTACTACAGGCTCCATACATGTTGGCCCTCAATCCTCTCCCTAACTTGGGACACTTGTGTAACAGCAAACTGTACACATCAGTTGCAATTTGCTTAACTCAAAATATATGTACGAGGCACACAAACATCTATCATAAAAACAATACACATAAAGTACCGAAATAAGAGTACTTGTAGTTACTGATAGTTATTTCAAAGAAAATTACAACTAAAAGATAAGTCATGTTCTTAAAGAGTAAACTATCAATCAATCAGTATATATCCAACGGATTTAATGTAAAGACGTCATAGAAACGCATGAACTTGTGCAATGCCAAAATATATGTAAACAGTATCGAGAGGTTGTACGATCTATTTAATTAGTTATATTTTAATTTTTCAAAAACAAATTCAATGTTAGTACCGATAAAACAATATTTAAAGATTGTGCTACTGTTAAATTGATAACCTTTCCTTTAAGATTAGAATAAGTTTATCCTAAGGATCAAATAGTTTACATGGATCATATATAAATTTACGGGCTATTTAAACAACATCACAGTAAAAATTAGGATATGATATCTCATTTTGAATAAGAATTCGACAGGTTAAGCCAAACTTTCTAACCAAATCTTTTTTTTTATCTATGAAAGAATTTGGTAAATATAAAAATAAGAAGGTGTGGTATGATTGCCAATGAGACAACTCTGGTAAAGTCTATTCTCATCTTGTGTTTTGACACCACTGTCTAAGTTTAAGTAGATGCTTGACTTGCAAACATGTTTAACCCATCCGAATTATGTACCGGTGACCCCACAGGGTGACTGGGGAATATAAATATGGTCATTTTGGTCTTCTTTTGACCGGCGGTAAAACCCTCGCCGAAGCGGGGCGCCCGTTTAGCTGTGCGGGATGTACAAGTACGCAGCCACGTCTAGTCAGAATAGGGATGTTAGATCCGATGCTTCGTGTTGAGAAAGTGCCACGCTCTCTGCACTTTAAGAACCCTTGCAACAACTCTATGACGGGTCCGTAGGTGGCCTGTTGCAAGACAAAATGTTTGTCCCTATCCAATACTGTGGATTCATTATTTTCGTGGGTACCAATTTTCGTGGATTAAGGAAAACTTACATGTTCATGGATATTTAATTTCGTTGTTTTGCCGAAGTTTGCATTCAAGCCTATAGAAAATTTGTCATTCGTTGAACATTTAATTTCGTGGTTCACCTGTACCCACGAAATCAACGAAAATTGGTATCTAACGAATAATAATGAATCCACAGTATACCTTCAATTTATCCAGTGGCAGTCCAAACTTCCCCGCGTAATTCCGGACGTCCTCTATTACAGAACCTACCTTTTGTATGTATTATTAATTCGTGCTTATCCTGAACATGCACGGAATATTTGCAAGTGGACGTTAAGCAACCAACACTCAACCATTACGTACATTTGTGTACCGGTGTCAGTGATAAAAGGGGGTCCAGAAATTTTTTAGGGCAGTGTCACCAATACGAACTTTCAAAACGTTTATTTTTTTATTGATAATTATAAAGACATGAAAGTAGCAAAAAAGCAAATGTTTTAGGTTAGGTAGATGATTGATGTTTACCAAACCGTATTGTGTACCGATGACCCAATGGTGACTGGGGAATATAAATATGGTCACTATGGTCTTCTTCCGACCGGCAGTAAAACCCTTGCCGAAGTGGGGCGCCCCTTGTGGCTGTGTTGAGTGTCTAAGTTAGCAGCCACGTCCGGTCAGATGCCTCGTGTAGAGAGTGTCATGCCCTCTGCACGTAAAGAACCATTGCAAAAATTTCTTTGAGGGGCCCATAGGTGGCATTTTGCAAGGCTAAATTTTATTTTCAAATGCAGTCTTAATTCCCCCAACCACCACCACCACCACAACCACCACCATCACCATCTCATCCCGATCAACCCTTATCATAGGACCTACATATTGTATCTATTGTTCACTAATAATGTACATGCATGAAAGATTTGCCATAGGACGCATTTAGTCATTTCTATCTTATTTTTTTGTTAAAAAAATATGCAGGAACCTGAGCTTCGTATTTTAACACTTTCATTCTTACCGTGCTGACAATTTTAAAAATGGCAAATGTTTGGATGTTTTGGAAAGTCAAACTGTGTTTCTAAATGTTTGTAGTTGCTGACTTTGAAAACATTGAATTTGTATTTCACCACAAATACAACTTACCACACTTTATTTTCGAATGATAGTTCACTCGGACTAAAGAAGTCCGAATAACAAAAATCAAGAAACATTGAGTTTGTAAGGGTTCTAGATATCCATCTCCTAGAGAACAAGGTCCATAATAATGCTAGGTCTATTAAGAGTCGTTAGTTTTTCAGATTGATGCTAATTTGTGGTTTTTCATAGAGTAAAACACACAAGAAGTAAACATTTGAATGAAATGCAAATGGGTGGGTGTACATTTTACGATGCTTATAATAATCAGAACGCATGACAAATCAATTAGATTTTGGCATCACAGTAGCAAAACTGTAATGTTCGGAGAAATTAAGTATAACGTTTATACCTTAAAGAAAAAAGAAACTTAATTGAAGAAAGCAAACCAGTTAATTTTGAGAATTATCTCTTCATTTTTACATCTCCACAACAAAGGAACCGAATTACTAATTAACGATGGCAATTAGTTACATGTTCATTGTATAAACATATCATTTAGCTTTAAGGTAAATCTATTGTATTTGTATTGCATGACACCCTTGAATCCGCCTCTGAGTTTCAGGCCAAGAGCCTATAATCCATTGGTTGTCTTTGATTGCTGTCTACCATGTTTTGCTTGTTTTCATTTCTTGCTGTGGTATAGATTAGATTTCTTGTTTTATTTTTTAATTAGCTCACGTTTTTTTTTCATCCTATATGGTCCTTTACGGTGTGAGATTTACTTATTGTTGAATGTCGTACGGTAAACGTTTTAAAAAAAGCTATTAAATTGGCGGCCGGACGCGTCTATAGGTCCGTATGATCAGCCAGTGATATTTGTATTTGTCGAGCAATTGTATTGTCCTACTAGTTTAGTAATACACTTTCATATGGATAACGGAACTTCTTACATGTACAAAATATTTCCAAGAGTATTTCAACAATATAACGGATATTATATGTTGCTTTATATAAAAAAAAAGGAGATGTGGTATTATTGCCAATGAGACAACTATCCACCAAAGTGGATGTATGTTATGCATGTTATGGTGGTAAATTGAATTTTTTAAACAATCATGTATATTAGTTAAAAACATATGAAAGCATACTATAATGCATGCAAAATTAATTTGACCAATACAATATTGTCGCAACGAATCGTACAGTATAAAAAAAAGTGTAATGATAACCAACCGTACACAATATGAAAATAAATACACGTTAAAACATGCTTTTCTTTGTTTTTAGATAACACATAAACCTACGATCTTAATTAGTTTGTTTATTTTTAACAATGATATTTTCAAAAATGTATGTTTTAAAAAATATGAGGCACAAGAAACTTAAAATTTTGATTAATTAAAAA